TTGCATTTCTTCAGCTTTGCAACAAATACACACACCTGCATCATGCTTTATGCTTTATGGGACTGCAGTATATATCGGATAGCGCGATGAAACAATCGACAGAAGTTCTATCTAATCTGCATTGTTTGTGTCATTATTTAATATTTATGCTGTTAACAAAGATAATTGTTTATATTTGAATAATTTTGCGTAATATTTCGAACAAATTTTAATTTAATTTAATTTAATTTGCGAAAATACTTTATGGATAAGCTAATATATTGCAATTTTGATAAAAGTAATGAATTATAATTAAATTTGTCAATTTAGCTGATGCACAGTTTTTCATAGTTCAACACAGTTCTAACTTTATAGATATATATAATTCTGACTTGTAAAATAATTCTCAATTGTTTTATAATATTCTCAGAATTTAAAACTTTAAACATTTATCTAAACAAATTGATAATATTGGATTTTATTTATGCTTTATTGAATAAAACATAAATAAAATCCAATCAATATAAATAAAAACACTAATTTAGGACATGCATGAATTTTATATTTGGAAGATGACAATATATGATATATATATATATATAATATATATATAAAAAGAAACAAGCTTAACAAATCTAAACTATTTTATATTGAAAATATTTTAGGATTTAGTTTACTCAAATTATTTTCTTTTTATAGAAAAAAAGTATCGAAATATTATAGAAATTTTATATGTTGAATATTATGATTTCTAAATTTCAAAATTTATTCGAATTTATCAGCATATTTTGTGAAAATTGAAAATTGTTGTAATTGAATGTTTTATTGTAACATATACCTGTTATTAAATATTATTTTATTCAAGCATATTTCGCCAGTTAATCCATAAACAAAATAAAAACGACAAAGCTGTAAAAAGTAGAAAATGTTCCGTAAGTATCGTGAGTTGCAAATAATGATATAACAAATAGAAAAGCGTATCATTAAATACACAGTTAATAATGTTTGCAAGTTACAAGTAATTTTTTTATCCTTTAGTTATTGAAGAAAAAAATAAACAGCTTTAAATATTTTACAAATAAAGGCATAATGTGTCTGAATATGGCAAATAAGTTTCATGAATGGAATCGGAAGAGCCGTACGATGTTTGGATTGATAATGAAGAATATGGACAATTATACTAAGGTGAATAATCGAAATTGAAAGTTGTCTAGAATCTTGTGAAAAATGAGTGCTTTAAAAAAACATATAGAAAATTCTGTGAAATTATAATTTTTAAATTCATAGATTATATATGTATGTTTAAAACTGTTAAGAAAATATTGTAACTGCATTTCTGTGCATTTTTGTTCCCATAATTTTCTAATGCTATTTTATATTAATAAATGCATCATATACTAAGCCAGAACAATATTATATCTACAGTTAACGTAATTAATAGATTATATATATATATATATATATATATATATATACCATATATAATCTATTAATTACGTTAACTGTCTCAGATGATCAAAAAGAGGCGGAAACGAACATTATCTATACTTATAATTCATATTTTATACTCATATTTTAGATAAAATTATATATGTCCTATTTACAGCGCTTGGCTCTTATTGTCACTTTTTACCTCGTTTGATTAGAAGAATCTTTATAATTGTATTATTATAAATCTAATCAGCTTGAAAAGAATTATTATAATACATATTAATGTATTTATACTAATATTTTATGAATTAATATATTATACTAATATAATTATAATTTATATGAAACTAATATATAATTAAGACTATATATAATTATAATACAATTTTCTCTTGAAAAGTTACAGTTTAGTAATTGCAATTTAGTAATTTTTTATTTGATATCATGAAATTTTTACTTCGTTCCTCGAAGTTTCTGTGAAAATAAGAATGCAATATCGTTATTTTATTTCATGTGCATAGCTGAGAAAGGAGTATGAAATGATAAAGTATAATATGGCTCAACTTGCTGAGAGAGAAAGGATTTATGATGATAGTTTCCTTATTTTTGACAACAACAATATCCTTTTTAATAATGGTGTCGCGAATGAAAATGGAAATAACATATTTGAATATGAAGATTTTGAGATAGTTGAGTTTTACGGTAGGATAAATAAGGTGGATGACCGCGAGCTTTTGCTGATAGGAATCGAAACTAAGCTTTACGAGATTCAAGATACATTCTTTAAGAGATGTTTTTCGTTATATCAGGAATTAAATGATTATGGTACGGAGTTGAGACAATATCTATGCAACGACAAGCACACTCTGAAATCATATAAATATCGAAAGAAAAATCTAGGGAAGTTTGTATGCTGCAGATATCATTTATTAAAGCGTATGCTGGAGCGAATTAACAAAGTACGTGCTTTGTTTAATTTATTCTTAGTAATCTTTCAAAAATAAGTATTTTTTGGCATACTCAATGCAAATGTAAATACCTAAATAAAATATCTCGAGTGTGAATTTAAAATACAATTCTTCGTCGCATTTATTAATAATACATGTTTGATTTTCTAGCACAAAAAACGCATCGCTAAATATAATCCTACATACAAGGAAAATAAATGGAATTAGCGATGACATATTTTTTATGTAAACTTTTATATTTGATATTTTATATAAAATGTACTTACTAACTTTTTGTTAGTGTATATTCACAAGTACTTGTAAAACATATTCACTTTTTGCTATTTCTTTTTAGACAATGCATGAATGTATTATGTCTTAAAATGCAAAAGATGAGACAATTTTTCTTATCTTCTGTATTTGTAAATTTAATATTAATTGTCTAATTGTAATTATATAATTGTATTAATATTTAATTATTTGACTTATATTAATATTAATTTTTTGATTTGTATTATAGAAATATATAAAAAATATATATTTATAAATGTGTATTTAATTATACGCGTAGGCTTTAATAAAGTTCATATCTTTGTTTATAAGAAAAAGAATGAAATGATTGAAACTATACACATTTTTATTAGTCTTTTTTGTATATAAATGGTGCAAAGTTACACATTTTTTCCAGCGATACAAGATCTGTCGGATACAATCATTGTATCAATTATAAATTATATTAAAATTATGATATTAAAAATTAATAAATTTTTGATTAAAAAATTAATTATTACAAAATTTAATTTTTAATAAAATTTTAATATTATTTTTTTAAAAACAATATGTCGATTTTTAGAATAATTGCATCCGCCAGATATTGCATCACTGGGAAAAATTATTATAATATGTATAATTTTACAGAATTCCTACATATAGAAAAAGACTAGTAGATGTGTACAGTTTCAATCACTTAATTCTTTTTATTATAAGTAAAGATACGAACTTTATGAACGACCCTCGTATATATTTAAATATATATTTAACATATATGTATGTACAAATTATAATGAAATATAATAAAAAATAAATTATTATATGTAACTTATAAATATTTTTATTATATATCTAATAGTTTATTATAATGTATATAAATTTTTAAGGCCTTGGCAATTTTCTTTTTAAAAAGTTCTTTTTAAAAAGACAAGAACTTTGATAATATAATGGATTTATTCGTTTGATTAGTTTCGCTTAATTAGGGCGATGAAACGTTTGCGCTGGTTGATATAAATAAAGACAAGATGTAATAAATAATTTTTTATTTTGATAAATATTGTTATGAAAAATAAGTCGTTCATACATTAGCAATCGCGTATAATTTTTACATTACAAGGGAGAGCAAAAGAGAGATAGAGAGAGGGAGAGAGAGTTTATGATAACTTTATCTTTTTTTCTATAATCTCTAATACTAATTGTAAGATAAAAAATATGCTACGATGTAACGAATTAAATAACGAATAAACTTAAAATCATTTTCCTCGTGATTCAACTTCTCAGAGATAGACGACAAGCACTCGACAAGTTTCCCCTTCCCAAACATCAGTTGTTCAGACATTTATTCTAGATGGCGCATTTCTAGTTGAAGAAATACTGAAGACAATTTGTTGTGAAATTGATTCCGAAGAATACACAGATCATTTTGTTCTATCATTTGCTGATCTGTTATCTTTTGTTAATGCACGCGCGCTCTGCGGTCATAGTTCGGTTTAAGAGTTCACATGAGACGTATGCGGCTCCTCGAAATAGAATTTTGCGCTCGTTATTATTGCGATGATGGATTCACGACACAGATACGCTGATGACAAGCAGTATCAGTACGAGCTGACTAGCGAAGATAAAGAATACGTGGCAGCCCATTTGAACGAGACCGATGAGAATAGAGAGCGTGCAATCGCAGAGATGAAACGCTGGATCGAGCAAAACGACGACTTGTGCGCACGAACAGGTAGAAATAAATGAAATTATTCATTCATCTAGTATATTGATTGCGTTAAAAAATCACTTGGTGAAATTCAATTACGGTCTATTAATTTCAAAGCATTAAAATGATATTTATTTTCAACCGTAGAATTAATGTGACATTAGATCGAATGTCTAACTTATTGCGTCTGTATGATAAAGAAAATGTAACACAGGCAATATTTGATCTCTTAAAATTGATTGAAAAGTTATTTTAAAAATATCAACAAATAAAATTATTCAATAGAAAATTCGTATTAAACAAGAATTTTGTATTGCATTCATATTTACATAATGAATTTGTTACATCTATAATAGTCTGAAAAATAATTAGGCATATTCAAGGAACAAATATGAATGGATATTTTTATATGTGAGATTTTAAAGCACTAATTTTATTCTTTATGATATTAAAGACGTGCTGCTGAGTAGAATCTTAAAATTACAAAATAAACTCAACGGACGACAAATTTTCATAATTTTTAAATTTTTAGTTCAGCATAAGTAGGTATTATACATTGTGTTATGAATATATATCTTGTTCTAAATAATTATTTTCTTTATTGAAAATATATATCTTGTTCTAATTAATATTATTTTTATTGAAAAAGAAGAACAAAGCTTGTCTCTAAAATCTTATTTGTGGCATCTTTGATTACGGCTTTTCATCTGAAGAGAGTCCTTAATTTGCTCGCAGATGACTTCTTCATCCTGCATTTTTTGAGAGTCTGCAAATTTAACTTAGAGAAAACTAAGACTAGAATGCGAAAATATTATAAGCAACGACTTGATTTACCAGAATGGTTCACGAACAAAAATCCGTTCCAGCCAGAAATGCAAGAGCTGCTTAACCTTGGGTAACATTACAATTATCTCGGAGTATAATTATTAGAGCGAATGTTCATAAGGAAATATCTCACGATGAGCCTTTTCGGACGATGTTGTGAGATCTATCTAGGCATTTTTATCTTGTATTTTTTAATTTAAATGAGATCTTTTTTTTGCTTTATTATTTTCAGCATGGAAATAACGTATTATGAGAAGCACTTAAATAGAATGACTAGATTCGCTAGATCTTCATAAACTTCTAGGATTCATAATAATTATTATCACTAATTTTTCTCGTGATCGTGTCAGTCTAATTGCAAATCATATTATAATGTGTATTTATTATTACTTGTGATTCATCACACTTAATAAACATCAATTTATATCGTTGCAGTCTTGAATAATAATTTTGTTTTAAATGCTCGTAATTGATAAATCATCAAATCGTTTTTATTCGAAGGTCAAAGACTAATAAAATTAATTTCTCATTTATTTTGTGCGATATAACATAGTGTTCTCTAAATTGCAATTTTACTTACGAAAACTACCTCATTTTGGTATCGATTTTATTTTTAATTTCTTTTTTTGTATTTCGTTATATTTTAACTTTCTTAATAATTATATTCTAAAACATATTTAACATAAACTTTTATTTAAAAATACAAGAATTGAATTTTTTTCTCTAGTGATCACACAATAATACTTTATTTACTTAAGTTTTGAAGATCGCTAAAAGCATTTTGCTTATGTGAAATTAGAAAGCGCGTCAATTTGTTTGAAGGATTTTGAAATATTTTATCTGCATTTAGGATATTTTTATTTTTACCAAAGCAAGACGATCATAAAAGAATGGTGATTATTATACGTCAAAAACTAAATAATCCGAATGTACACAAGTTTTCGGACTTGATCAAGGTACGATTAATAGTATATGACACCTGAATCGACTTACGAAGTAAACAATCGCGCAAAGTCGTATTTTCGACTCTGTATATTTCTCAATTAATGAGAAATTCCTTTTGCAGATCGGCATAATGGCTATGGACGTGATGATGAAGGACCACGTTGTACCGTCTTTGTACGGTCTCGCGTTGTTCATAGACTTGGACGGCATAACTGCACGTCATTTGGCACAATTGAAACCTCGTGCAGTGATGAACATAGTTCACTCATGGCAAAGTTGCTATCCGATAAGACTTCGATCGATTAATTTTATCAACGCGCCGAAATACGTTCATTTAGGGGTGGCAATTTTCAAGTCTTTCATGAACGAGAAGCTGAAGCAAAGATTGCACATTTATACGCGCGATGAAACTATGATGCACAAATGCTTCAAAGATATTTCGATTAATATCCGACCGCTCGAGTACGGCGGCACCGATTGTACAGTCCAAGAAGTAATAGGTAATTATGATAATTGTAAGGAAAACGGAGCGATTGTATATTATATTAGTGAAGAATAGAGAATGACTCTTATTAAGCACAGCAAAAGATTGTTCGATTTTCTGCATTTAGAATTCAAATAAGAGAGCACACGCAATATTTGACTGACAATAAGATAACAATTTGATCATAAAATCGAATTTTAATTTTTGTCAAATATGTAAACAATTATATAAAAAGAAAAAACTTTCACGTACTTGCAGACTATACAAAGAAAGTAGTCGAAGAAAATCGCGATTGGCTTATCGACAGTGAAAAGTACAAGGTTATTCCTAAGCAGTAGTTCGAGATAAGTCACGATTGAATTATAATTCTACACATAGAACGCATAGAAGAAAAATTATGAGAAATCGAAATACTAATGAATCAATTGAGTGGTGATGAGACAATACAGAGCGAAGAGGAAGGATGTATTTATTGTTAAGATGATTGAAATGATATGATTGAAACTTTCCCAATTTTGTTTATGTAAGTAAAATAAATATACATTTTTTATACACGTGTTTTCAAGCTTTGCCTTTGCGTCACATATTTTCGTTGACTATCGGACAATTTTTTTCTTCTTTGTCGTCGACGAATGCTCGATGGCGCAATATTTCTCTTTGACAACAAACGAACAAAGATTTACACGTAAAATTGTATTTTACAAGCGAAGATTATTATGATTTATCTATACATAAAGTGTATTAAAATTCGACATTAAAATTTTTACATATTAAAAAAATATATTTATATATGTATACACCTAGATTTGCAATCACACGAATTATATACGTCACCATGTATCTAACGATTTGTTCGTATATTACATAATTTTAATCAATTTTGATGCTGTTCTTGTGTTCATGCGCAGAAACATCGTAAATTCATTCATTAGTAAAAAATAACGAGATCGCGGAAGCGGAAGGAAAAAAAATGATAATCATGTCGCGTCAAGGAGTAATCCGTTTTACTTTATGTAACGAAATTTATCATAAGTAAAATATAACGTGTCGTATTGTATTTCGTTATATTTCGTTACATTACGACAAATTTCGTTATATTACAATATAAAATAATACAAGAAATAAAATGGAATACTCACTGATCACGCGACATTTCCTTTTCATTTCTTCTGCGATCTCGTTATGATAGTTAAATAAAAGATATGTATTTAAGTCATGGGCAAGTAAAACTGCGCTATGATTTAATAAACTATATTATATTATCTATATTATAACTTATAAATTTATGTGCCTCAACTGCACACGATTCCGTTTTAATTTGGGGTCGATATTTTACCAGGTTTCCTCCATCGTGCCAAATTTTCGTATGGCTTTGTAGAGGTATACTATACCCGATAATACCATCAAGAATACGATTATTTTTACAGTATAGCTTTTTGTATGTATTGTAAAAATCTCTATTTTAGGGTCATCGAGATTAAGCTAACTCTTTATTCTGAAATTTTCTGTTGCCTTTGTCTCATTTTATGCATTCTATGCAATCGTATAGTGAATGTATAGAGAGAAAACAGCAAAAAAAAGTCAGTTGACAGAGATAGCTGCTCTAAAATAGAGAAGATCTACGAGTAAAAAATATTGCTATTTATGCAAATATGCATCTTTATTATTGAACCTAGGTTGGACTAGGAGGTGTCGTGTTTGTTGCTCGATAATTTATATTATAATGTGTTACTGGTATTATTTTTGATCGTATTCTGGAGGTATTAACCCGACGGTTACGATCAGTGAGATGATTGCATGCGGTTCAGCGAGCTCCAGCTCTACCATCCGCGATGCAACGTAAACGACTCTATTTGCGGATGTGAATATACAAATTGCGCGCGATCACACGAGAAAGGGGAATAAAATATTATATGTTTTCTGTACAACATGCAGAGTGTATATTCACTTTCTTTTTTACCTTTACGTACTTTCTATCGAATTATTTACCGATTTATTGTAATATAATTTGCGACAAAACGTCGCATACTTGCAATATTTTACTTTGTCAGTTTGCTCCTTTGTAAGCGATTTTATAGTTAATATTTTCTGTATAATTTTTAGCCGAAGATGAGTTCAACTTCGTAGGAAAAAATCTGCTCTCTGTTATATACTCTCAACTGGATTTTTGTATCGTTTTTGACAGAGAGAAGATTCACAGGGAAACAGAGAACCCTGGGGGCATTCACGCTATTTTTTTTTACAGATGTTGATTAAAAATAGGGACAGATTTCCTAAAAGTAGACAAACGCACTCCCGCAAGGCAAATGCGGCAGTTTTGCGCACACTATTTATTCCCACTATTTATATCATACACACAGCTCAGGCATACACATACGCGCGTTTTACAAGCATTAAGTGCACACAGGAGCAATCACATGAATCAGAGGTTCATTCACCGTGGAGAGTGCTGCGAGATCGTATCGGCAACGCGTCGACACCCGGAATCGAAGCCGATCGAGAATACAGAAATAAATATTTATATATATATATATATATATATATATATATATATGTCGATTTATGCATTGTAATAACGGCAGTTATAGAAAGCTTTTTGAATGCTGACCGACATTTTTTTTTATAAAGCAGAGAGTGAGAGAACTCTTCTAAGATAATAGAATTTCGTGATGTGATAAAAAAAGCAATTGCTCGACCATTGCTTGACATTGCTATAATTTAAATTTATTTAATTATATTTTTTTGATGTAAAATTCTATATACTTCCTAACTATGTCTTATCTTAGTTTTAACTATCTATTGTATAATGTGCGAATAAAAAGAAGACTTTTCTTAAGGATCGCTTCGGTGCCAGGTGTGAAAACACAAATTTCCGATCGACACAATCCAGATCAATTTGTTCGCGACATCCGTCTTGCATCCGTCGAACGCAATTCGTTTAACATTCGGGAACACTTCCTTCCCCGATTCAGCACTCTCGCGTTCTGTTTCTTCGCGGAAAGAAATTGTTCGCTAAGCACTGCACATCGAATACAATCTGAACGCGAGGATGCGAGTTCCTTGAGTTATTATCCGCGCTTGAACTTCAGTACCACGAGACTTATCGTGAGAAATACGACAATCCAGATGATGGTGGATAGGAAGCCGTTGTAGACGTTCGATTCTGAGATGCCCCAGCCACGGGTCAACATGGAACGTAGGGCGGTTGTTGCTAGAGTCAGCGGTAGACCTTGCGATACGTATCGCAGGAACGTCGGCATGCCCTCCACAGGCCATATTACACCTGTAAACCGAGAATTGTTATCGCCGTTTATTATACTCGTTGAAAAAAAATAGGCTGGTTAAATAGGCGATATATTTGCTTATATATTTTTTATTTTATATATAATTTATTATATATTTATATATTATTTTATTTATATTTTGATATATATATATATATATATATATATTTAGATATTTTTTCTTATATTTAATGCACTTTTTATTAATTTAATGAATGACGTTTTCATTTTTACGTATTATTTTTAACAACTGAGTGAATTTTATTTTCCTTTTTTTCAATTTCTGGAAAAGGATTCTTTGAAGGTGTTTTTCACAAGCAATCGTGATTCAAATATTGTTTTGTGAATAACAAAAACTGATTCTATAAATCCACAGATATGTATGTGATTATCTCTTTTTTAAATAAATATTTCATTTTATACGTACCGCTGAGAAGAAGTGTAGGATAGAAACTTCCGAGAGCCAGCTGGATAGCATTCCTTTCGAGTTCGCAAATTGCTGAAATTACAAACCCTGCAAGAAAAAAAATTCCGAGTGATAAAGTGTTTTCTTTTCGATTCTGATTATAAAACATGCGATCATATAACTTATGCGTTTGTTTATGTACATATATGCTTGCGCTTATTTTAGCACTTTTAATTTTTATTGTATGGCTATATCTTTTATTCCGATTCTTTGAAAGACATCGCATTTTTCTCGTAAACCGTAAATATTTTGCAAGAAGGACGAGCGTCTCTTTTTTTCTTATGATTGAACGAATAATCGAATGGTGATCTCACCGAAGCACATGCCGCATAGCCCTTGAAGTATCGTCAGTATGATGACCCAGCCGATTTCGCCTTTGCATTCGACATTAAATACCAGAATCATGAAGATTAATACCAGAGCCGTCTGACCACACATCACTACGAATTGCGTGATCACGTGGGAGAACAAAATCTCCGCAGGTGACACGCCAGCCACCCAGCTTCGGTCCAGAAGACCCTCCATTCTCTCGATGATCAGTGCCGATGACGTCAGCGCGACCGCCAAGAAGAAGACAATGCTGTGAATGGGGAAAAATTAAAACATTAAAAAATTACATCCTTGAGACTATCGTTATAAGTTCCGTAAGGCAATTTTAATTACATTCTAATAGGGAAAAAGAAAAAAAGAAGAATCAAATGAATTAAAAAGTCCTTATATTCTAAAAAGAAAGAGGGAGAAAGAGATAAGATGAAGAGAAATAAATTAAAAATGTAAAATTATATGTCAAATATTAATGAGCTTACGTCAGTATTACACCTGGTGCCACAAAGTCCGTAAAGCTAGGGTCATTGTCGCCATAGATGGGCTCCTTGAACTGGATTGGTACATCGGCCAATTTTGCATTTTGATCGCAGGAAGTTAGAAGATCCTTAGCAAAATCTCGATACGAATATTGAAGATCTCTCGCTAGCATCAGGCCTATTTGTTGATCTACCATTCAAAAATAGCACAAAATTAAAGAAATGGCATCGAAATTTACAGTCATTAGCATATCGATATAGAAAGATTAAATAAGTGTGTCGAATATTAAATACATTGACACGTGCAGAAAGAAATATACGAAATAAAGTTCACCACGTTTAATCATTGCGTGATAAATAAAATATATATATATACGATATTGAATAATACGGCTATCAAAAATAACGAATAATATATTCGATATGCAAATATATTTCAGTAGGAAAAATATCTTACAAATGCTAAATGCTTAAGCTTGGTACAAGAAGAAAAATTAAAAATTTATAAACTAGCGATTAAAATATTTTGACATTTTTAATTATTCGCAAAAATTGAAATTTAATTTAATTAATTTTTTACACGATTGAATGGAAATACTTACTGGACATGTCCAGCCAAACTCTGATCTCACTTTGATCGAGAGTTTCGTCATCAGAATCTTTTCCTAAGGCCATTCTCGCTACGAGAGCATCCGTGAAGTTTTCGGTAAAGTACAACATGCCCCAAACATCTCCTTTTTTCACGGCGTCCATTGCCGAATTGGGATCTCGATAATATTCCTATAATATAAAATATAAAACATAAATGAAGAGAATTATCCATATCTATTATACATTTGCGTGTTACACATCAATTTCTATTTAATTTAGCCATTTTAGAAAACTCATTTTTTATTATCTATTACATAATATCTTGTCTATTATACTATATTATATTATGTATAATAATATATATTATAGAACGTATATAATATTGAGAAATACTCGCCTTTATTATCGTATCGTTATCCAGAAAATTGAGATATCGACAACTAAGATGCGAGAAGCTACAATCCTTCGCAATAGGGCATGACATATTTTCATAAAACATTTCTCGTTCACTATAGCTAGTTTTAGATCTGTTGGATCTCTTCCGATCGCCAAGCAGAAGAGAATCACTTGCATCACCGGTAAGCGAAGATGAACAGCATCACGCTGCGGAAAAAAAAAAATTTATTGCATAGCGATATTAACATATCATTATGCATATTTAGGTATTTTTTAATCACTTTTGTGAATGTTTTATTTCTCTTATAAAAATATTACAACCAAAAAAATTAGGAACGATAAGACTGAAACTCGAGAGGCAAAAATATGATTGACTATTAATTATTTCACAAACAGTCTCGCGACTAAAAAACGTACCCGACGTTTCTCCACATGCGTAAGAAGTTTTTCTGCAAAAGCGCTTTCATCTTGCCCAAACTGGTGATATTATAGCAGTCTGTAAAACTGCCGCAATCGTCACACTCCAGCACAGATCCGCCTTTTGCATTTGGCAGTGGCTTACCATTTATCTGTTTTAAAGAATCGCGTGATTTATATTAAAATCAAGATATATCATCTCTTTGACAATTTTAAATTATAATTTTAAAATTCAATTTAAAATTATATAACTTTCGCATTTATAATAGTTTTGCAATCGAAAATATTTCAGTCACGATGAGATACGCATTTTTTTTAAGAATTCTCAACATCAATGATAATAAAAAAAGAATGTATATTTATATATTTTCGTAATCTCATATTTTGTTTATTAAAATTAAAATATGATATAAAGCTTATCTCGAGTTTAAAAAGCCTCAGTGATATAAATGCACATTGAAGGAAGAAATTCAATTAAACAAGTGCTAAGACATTGAGTGCAATCCGCCGTGATGTGCAGTGAGGTAACCTCTTACATCATAATGATTCGCTATTCCATTGGTCGAGTCGTAAATCAGAGCCTCTTTGCTCTGGTGGAAGTTAAGGCCGACGACGCCGGATTCCTCCGTCACGTATACTGGCTCGTCTTTCTTGCCCCAGTTTAGAGGAGCCTGTGTGCAAGGAGAAAAAGAGGCGTGGCGACATTTAATTGATGCAATCGGACGATAAAATTAACTACGAGGCATAAAAGGCGAGATTGATAAATAGTTCTTTTGCAAATATACAACGCACGTGTCGACTTTGCACAGTAATTAGGAAGGAAGGATGCGGCAAAAAGATATATTGAATAAATAATATACGATTGACATTAACTTTGATAAAAATATAGTATAACAACTAACAATATAATAGAAGAATTCAAAAATAAGAATGCAATAAAAAATTAAGAAAAAGAAACTTAAAAAATATGAATTATGAAATTTAAAAATAAAAAATTGATTTTTACATTGAAGAACATTTTTTAGACAGTGGCAATAGCAACATTATATTGACAGAGGGAAAAATCGAAACGTTTTTCCATTCAAATTGCTTTTTAC